TAAATAAATAAATAAAATAAATAAAAAATAATAAAAAAAAAAGGAACAAAACACTGATGCATGCTACCATATGGATGAACCTTAAAAACCTTCACTGAAAGCAGCCAGACACAAAAGGCCACATACTGTATGATCCTGCTTCCCTGGGATCCCAGAATGGGCAAATCCACAGAGTCGGAAGGCAGACTAGCAGTTGCCAGGAGCTGGAGACAGGAGGGGAACGGGGAGTCACTGTTTAATGGGGTCTCCTTCTGGGGTGATGAAGAAGTTCTGCAACTACATAATAACGGCTGCAAGACACTGCAGGACATTGCACCTCCTTACTGCATGCGATAAAAAGCCGCTGAATTGTGTAACGTGGTTAAAATGGCAAATATTGGGTCATGTGAATTTTGCCATAATTTTTAAAAAAAAAACAAAAACCAACGCAATCCCTGATCCTTACCTCAAACCCAAACCTGCAGGGGTGAGCCTGGAAATCTGTATTTTTAAGAAGGGGTACCAAGAACTAAAATCAGCCAGAATTTAAGGCCTACATGGAGGAACCTCAGGCGCAGATGACTTGGGGGCCTTCGTAGGCCTGATATTGGGGCACACGAGCTGGTGTGCACGTCCCACTCCCCACCCCGACACTGTTAGGTCTGCGGGGCTGCGCGGTCACCCAGGCTCAGGCTCATCTGCATAAGCCAGCCCCCAGCAGGTGATTGGCCGAAGAGCGGGCACGTGATCTCATCTGAGCCTGTGAGAATCAAGCCCAGAGTTTTTGGCTAAAGGCCTTGGTGAGAAAAGCCAGTCTTTTGTCAAGTTGCTGGACAGTGGGAAGTGGGTCTGGGTGGCTGGCAGGGGCCGGGAGCAGCCACGGAGCTGCCTCAAGGGACGAGTGTGCTCTCCAGGGGGCGCACGCGGAGGCCCCAGGGATGGAGAGGCTAAGCCTGATGCTGAGCCTCGGGACCCAGTGGCCAGCGGCCCCCAATGCTGGCCTCCAAGTGACCCAGTCACCCACCGTGTCCGTGGGGGGACAGAGGGCTGCTTCTCAGAGGAGCGGATTCCCGAGCCCCGGGGGGCGGGGGGGCGGTGCTTGAAGCACGGAGAGACGGAGAGGAGCTTGGGGACACCAGGTTTGCTCCGGCAGAGAACTAGGGCGCTGGCAGTAGAGGGGACAGAAGCTCCGGAGGGTCAGGTGTGAAGAGTTACTAGGAAGGAGGCAGGGTCCCCCGAGGAGGCCCCCGGCCCCTCCACACAAGTGCTGCAGTGCCTGTCCCTGGAGGCCTGTGCGCATCACACTGCCCGCCCACTGCCCCCACTCACCTTGCCGGGTGCACACATGGTCCCGTCCAGGGGGGGCCCCTTCTTGGTCTTGCAAAAGTACGGGTTGTCAGGGTGGCTGCACCACAGCTGCTTGCAGGGGTCGAAGGTCCGGAACTGCAGGAGAGCGCTGCAGCTCGCCCAGCGGCCTCCCACTGCGGGGACCGTGCAGGGCCCGCCCTGTCCCCCAGGGTCCTCTCGGACAGGGCGGAGTCGGGCACAGCGTGGCTGCCCAGGACAGCCCCGCGCGATTCTGCGGCCGTGACAACCTCCAGCATGCCGTGCCTGCCTCCTGCCCCCGCAGCAACTGCCCCCCCCACCCCCCCAGCCTCCAGGCTCTGACCCCTGCACCTGTCATGGAGCCTGGACAGACAGCTGTCAGGAAGGCTGGGTGGGCATCCCTTTGGCCCCGGTAGGAGTGGCGGGGAGGGGCTGTCACTGCAGGGCCCCACGGGCACCTACTGTCCCCCTGCGGAGGACTCCGCCTCCTAAAGCCCTCCCCTCTGCCCTTCTCTTGCTTCAGCCTTGGCCTCTGTTTCCTGGACCCCAGTCACCTCTTCTCTGGCCTTTCTGCTGGCTGTCCTTGCTCCAGGATGTCCCTGAGGGATCCAGCTGAAACTCAGACCTGGCTTTGCCCCCCCTCTTGAAACATTTCTAGAGCTCCCCGCGGCAATGAGAATCAAGCCCACCAAGCTCGTTAGGCAGCCACGCAAGAGCTTAGACCACCTGCATCAGTCCCCGAGTCCACCACTTGCTCGCTCTGTGGCCTTAGGCATGTCACCTAAGTGCTCAGTTTCCTCCTCTGTAAAACGGGAATACTTTGCTTGCTTCCTTCCTGCGGCTGAGAGGAGCATCAGGTCAGACGCTAACAGACACTAATGCTCTTGCCACGCTGCCTTGGACAGGCTGGGCCCTGAGCAGCAGACACAGTCCACTCGGATAAGTGGGGTTCCCGCCGCTGGCTCTGCCCTGGCGCCAGACCCCGGAGACAACTGGTTGCTCCTCTGAATGCTATGTGCCCTCACCTCTGGGCCTTTGCACATGTGATTCCTGCCTTCTAGAATGTCCTCTCCTCTCACTTAGCCTTGACACCTCACTTCTTTCTCAGGGAAGCCCTCCGGAACGCTGCAGGCAAAACAGGGGCCTCACCAGCACCCCGGCCGCCATCCCTTGCGGTCCCCTGGCCACAGGGCTCGTCACCAGGACCACGCCTGGTCTGGCCAGGTGGGCACCGGGTGCGGAGCGGGAGGGAGCCAGCGGGTGCAGAGGGAGAGACTGCCGCTCTGGAGGCCTGCTCCGCCCCGCCCTCAGGAGCCACCCAACAGCCGTCACCTCCTGAGAAGCCAGCCAGACGGGCAGGGACACCCAGGGGTGCTCGGACACTCACCGCCGTGCACATCATGTAGCCCAGGCCGAAGTCGAAGCGGCACTGCTCGTTCATGGAGTAGTGCAGCCCCGGGAGCTGGGGCAGCGCCGGCCAGTCGTGCGCAAAGGGGTCGTCCCGCAGGCAGTCATAGGAGCTGGGGGGGACACACGGGGCGCCACACGCAGCCTTCAGCCGGCAGCCGCGGCCCCTTCCGGAGCCATGGTGGGGGGCCCGTCTGCACCTCCAGCCCTCAGCCGTGCTGCCTCAGTTTCCCTGCTGCATCTCTTTTCCTTGACGTAAGCTCCCCAGGCATCCCATCAAAGGTGCACCTGCTGTGCCCACTTTCCATTCAGGGCCGAGCCCCCCGACAACTGGACCTCCCCCACCACGCGCACACTGACCCGCGCCGCTCTGCCTTCCCTCCCCTGCACCTCGGGCTGGAGGACTGAAGTCTGAGGCCTCGGGCGGGACGCAGGCACATGGGGGGGCGGTGCATCCGTCCTCCTGGAGCTGAGCCCAGGGCTGCGGGCCGTCCTGCCCACACCGGGGGTACTCACTGCAGGTAGCGGCTCAGCTCCTGCTGGCTGCAGCGGGACCAGTGGAAGCGGTGGAAGGCGGCCTGCACCAGGGGCGCCATGATGCTGCCCAGCCGCACCTCGTCGCCACAGCGGTTGCCCTGCCCGTCGTGCTCCATGCCCAGCCTGTGCGGGGCGGGGCAAGGCAGCCGCGCTGACCTGGCGGCCGGGGCGCCGCCCCAGCCTCCCCCAGCGGCTCCCCGGGGCTTTCGCTGGTCTGCCCTGAGCCAGGTTTTCCGCCAGCTCGGTTCTTAAAGCCAGGGGCGCGGGGGAGACGGTGTCCGGAGGCCGCCCCTCGACATCCTGCCCGCCAGGGGGCGCTGTTTCGGGAGCAGGCAGCGGGGGCCGGGGCAGCCTCCGCTGGAGCCTCCACATACTCAGCGGTGTGGGCTCAAATCCCTGCACCCGCCCAGCGGCCCTACGGAGTTTGCCCCAAATTCGGAGGGGCCTGGGGGCTGCACACCTGGGTGGAGCTGTGGCTTCCCCGCCTCCGGCTCCCTAATTCCGGGCAGGGCTCCCTCAGAGCCCCAGTTATTGGTGTGTAAAATGGGGTAAGGAGGCCCCTGCCCAGGGGCTTGCGTGGCATAATGCCCGGGAGGCCCCCAGTACGCGCGTGGCCCCTTGATTTGTTCCCTCAGCACAATGTGGACCTTAGGCCTGCCTTGTGCAGTGCTGAGCTCAGAACTTTACTTCCCAGGTGCTTTTCACACAGGGCGTGTCCCCTCCCTGCCCTCCCCAGGGCACAGAGGGCCCCGATCTTCCCCACGCGACAAGGACAGCGAGGCCACTTACACGTGGCCGGTCTCGTGGGCCACCACGAATGCTGAGGAGAAGCCATCCTCGTGGTTCAGAGTGCAGCTGCGGACGGGGTGGCACATCCCAGTGACAGGAGCATAGCCTGGGAGGAGACAAAGGGCGGCTCTAGCTCCGGGCCTGAGTCAGGGGGATGCCCTGGCCCCAGTGCCCCCCACCATCCCCAGAGCAGAGGAGCCAAACCAGCTGCCCCATGCTGACACAGCTCAGGTGACATGCACCCCAGGCAGCCGGCCTCGGCCATGCCCGTCACTGTGCACACTACAGCCGGGGTCAGTCTCCCGGGTACAGCTAGGCCCGTTTCCAAAGCACACACAGGGAGCAGTGAGGGAGGACCCCCGATGCTGCTCGAGGGCAGAGCCCAGGGACAAGAGCCAGCAGGCCACACTGCCCTGCTGTCATGCAGCCAGGACTGGCCAAGAGGACTGAGGAGTAGCCCAGCTGCAGACAACAAGGCCCTCCGAGCTCTCAGCCAGTGAACCTGTACTCTGGCTGAGGAGAGTCTGAGCCATGTTCCTCCTGAAGGGTTCCCCTCTTCCAGGGGTCTGTGGGGAAGGAGCCGGACCAGGCAAGATGCCCCCAGAGGCGGAGGGTGGGGAGCAGGAGTGGGGAGGGGCGGCTGCGGCAGGCCACATCCCCCTGACATAGATGCCCAAGGACCCCCCTGCCCTCAGCCAGCCCAGCCCCATCCCCACTCAAGTGGCTTAGAAAGGGCCACTGAATTCACAGGTAATAGTGAGGGGACACAGTGTGTTTTGCCAACCCAGTTACATTGTGCAGTCCAAAGAAGCAGTCAGGAAATGCAGACACACAGGGGTCAAGGGGAGGACTCAGGAATGAGCTAGAACAGCTCAAGCAGGGGGGCGAGAAGGCCTGCAGATGGTCGGCCTGTGGAACAGCTGAATCCTCTGGGTGGGCTGAATCTGATCAGAGGGTGGGGTTGTTCTTCAGATGTCTCCAGTCTTAGAGGACAGCATTCCCATGGGTGAGGAGGGGGAGGGTGGAGGGGGGCATGACCCTGAGACCGCACCTACCACTGAGGAAAACCAGGGAATCGGGCCTAGCCACTTGCCCCTGGATAAGATAAAGAAGTGCGAAGTGCGTACAGAGCTGTGGCGGGGGGGGGTCTGCTAAGACACCACCTAGAGGCCCACCAAGCAAGGAGCCTCCGCCCTCGGAACCCTGACGTAGCCTCACTCCTCGGAGTCCCCATGGGGAGATCCCAAGGCAATTTATTCAAAGGAAAGAGTAGAGAAGAAAAGAAGAAGGGCCTGGTGACCCGGGGTGTGCTGGTGTTAGACTTGTTTGTAAAATCATTGTAATCGAACCACTGTCTTTTTCCCCTTGTAATAAACAGGAAAATATGTATCATTTTTTAAAAAGATTTAATTTATTTATTTGAGAGAGAGAGAGAGAGAATGAGAAAGAGAGAGAGAGATAGCATGAGAGGGGGGAGGGTCAGAGGGAGAAGCAGACTCCCCGCCAAGCAGGGAGCCCAATATGGGACTTGATCCCAGGACTCCAGGATCATGACCTGAGCTGAAGGCAGTCGCTTAACCAACCGAGCCACCCAGGCACCCAGGCAAATCTGTATCTTAAAGTATTTTTTGCTCTGCAGATTTTAAGATGATTGTTCTGGAATCAGTGTCCCAGAGCCAAACTTTGAGATCTTCTCTTTGTTTGTTGTATGCAAAGCCTGCATATGCCTATTCACACTACCTAGCGTATTACATGGGTCTTTATGATCTGAAGGTTTGCCAAAGTATCTTTATGTTTTTCTTTATAGCCTTCCAGCTTATTTAATTTTGCTATTGCTCTTTTGTTTCTGGAAATCTTATTAGATAGATATTGTACCTCTTGGGTTGCGCCTCTATGTCTTCGTTCTCTTATTTTAATCTTTTTGGATGCCCTTGACTTTTTTTAAGATTTTACTTTTATTTATTTATTTATTTATTTATTTATTTAGAAAGCATGCACAAGCTGGGGGAGGAGCAAAAGGAGAGGGAGAGAGAGAATCTCAAGCAGACTCCACAATGAGCGCAGAGCCCGAAGCAGGGCTCAATCTCACAACCCTGAGATCATGACCCTAAGATCGTGACCTGAGCTGAAATCAAGAGTTGGACACTTAACCAACTGAGCCACCCAGGAGCCCCTGCCCTTGACTTTTTATTTCAGCTTCTGAATTTTCTATTTTACCCATTATATCTTTAGTTTCATAAAGATTCTTTGCTGTTCTCTAATTCTTCCTAGCAACCCGTGCTGGGTTTATGGGATGTATCTTCTCAAACATTCTGGGAAGTATTACTTTTTTAAAAAAGTTCTTCTCCAGTCTCTAAATTATCTCCGTCTCCTCTAGAGTCAGTTCTCTGATTCTGTTTTGCATCTTGGTCTGACTTTTTTTTTCATGGTGTAAGTTTAAAAAAAAAAATGTCTGGCCATCCTTAGCTGTGCTTTCACAGTTCAAAACAGGGGAGGAGGTCACTTGCTATAGACGTTACGGTGGTTTCTCTCCCTATGGAACAGTTCTGCTCCCCATTAGAGCTCTCACCTGGACAAAAGTGCCGACAGAGCGCACTGTCATCTGGCTTCCTGCTATGACAGGGAGCTAGAAGCCCCTCCAAATGAAGAGACACCAACACCAACCAGGAGCCTTACTCTGAGCTCGGTGGGATCAGGAGTCCCACTCTGTGTTCCCACCTGAATCCTACTGTGGTGCCAATCTGTGTGGCAAAGGGGGCAGCTGCAGTGCCAGAGAAATGTTTTGTTAACATAAACTGATCTGGCCTCTGGTGAGGGTCACTCAGGAAGTCTCCCTAGTTATGCAGATATGAGCAAGTGGGCAGCAGAGAGAAGCCAAAGGTCAAAAGAGTGGAGGAAGATGTAGGGCAGTAGGTATAAAAATTCATGGAAGGAAGTGGTGGGTGTAATGAGCATGTATATTATATAAGTATACTCATTTTTATAAAAAGGATCACTAGAATGATCAACCAGAAACTAATAAAAATGACTATCTGTAGAAAATGGGAATGGGGTAAAATGGGTCCACTCTTCTGAATATATAGTTTATATGGTTTTTTAAAGCTCTTTCTTTTGAAGTATGATATACATCCATAAAAATGCACAAGTCATAGGATACAACAAGTGAATCATCACAAAAGGATCACACCTGTGTAGCTGTCTCCCCAGTTAAGAAATATAATTGTATCAGCACCGCAGAAGCCCCTTCTTGCTGCCTCCAGTCATGACATCCTCTCTCAAAATAGAAGGAAATATTCGCAAATTGTATATCTGATAAGGGGTTAATATTCAAAATATATAAGGAACTCAAACAACTCAACAGGAAAAATAAACAAACAACACAATTTAAAAATGGGTAGAGGACCTGAATAGACATTTTTCCAAAGAAGACATCCAGATGGCCAACAGGTACATGAAAAGATGCTCAACATCACTCACCATCAAGGAAATGCAAGTCAAAAACACAATGAGGTATCACTCCACACCTGTTAGAATGGCTAGTATCAAAAAGACTAAGAAATAACAAGTGTTGGTATGGAACTGGGACCCTTGTGCATTGTTGGTGGGAATGTAAATTGGTGCAGCCACTGTGGAAAACAGTATGGAGGTTCCTCGAAAAATTTAAAAATAGAACTATCTTTAACTATAGAACTATGATCCAGAAATTCTACTTTGGGGTATTTATATATTTATCTGAAGGAAACACAAGCACTAACTCAAAAAGCCATCTACAGCCCCCATGTTCACTGCAGCATTATTTATGATAGCCAAGACGTGGAAACAACCTAAGTGTCCATCAGTGGATGAATGGATAAAGAAGATGTGGTGTATACACACACTGGAATATTATTCAGCCATAAAAAGGAAATTCTGCCATTCACAACAACATGGACGGAACATGAGGGCATTATGCTAATTGAAATAAGTCAGGCAGAGAACGACAAACACCCTGTGATCTCACTTATATGTGGAATCCAAAAATAAATAAATAAAGCCAAACTCATAGATACAGAGGCAGTGGGTAGGGGGTGGGCAAAATGAGGGAAGGGGGTCAAAAGGTACAAACCTCTAGTTATAAGATCTGAGGATGTCATGTACAGCATGGAAACAGTAGTTCATAATACTGTATTGTGTATTTCAAAGTTACTAGGAGAGTAGATCTTAAAAGTTCTAAGCACAAGAAAAAAACCTTGTAACAATGTGTGGTGATGGATATTAACTAGACTTGTGGTGATCATTTCACAATATATCCTATCATTATGTTGCACACCTGAAACTAATATAATGACATATGTCAATTATATCTCAATGAAAAAATTAAATTAAAAAAGGAGGCGTGTCAAGCTTCATTTTTTGCCCCAATTTGGTTATTTGCCTAATCTGACCATTTGACCATTTCAACCATTTGTTGAAAAGACCATCTTTCCCCTCCACTTCACAATAAATCAAGCGTCCATCCATGGGTGTGTTCAAACCTGGACTCTGTGTTCTCATGATTCATTTGTCAACCCTTGCATCAAAATACACTCTTCAACTACTGTATTTCTGGGAGCACTGAATACTTTGCTCATCTTCTCCAATTGTTCTTGACTGCTCTTGGCCCACTGAATTTCTGGATGAATATTAGAATCAACTTGTCGATATCTCCAACTATTCTGCTGGATCTGAACTTGTTCTGGAGTGCACTTGCATTCTCTTGCAGGTCAGTTTGGAGAAAATTGATTTCTTTACAATAGCGAGTCTCCCTATCCATTAGCATGGCACACCGCTTCATTGATTTTGTCTTTTATAACTTCTGTAAGTGTGTTTTACAGTTTTGGGGTCTAGATCTTGGATACCTTTTGTTAAACTAATTCCTAGGTGTTTGCTATTTTTTATTCTTTTATTATTCTAAGTGGTACTAGTTTTCAAATTTTAATTTTTTGCTGTTAGAATACAGAAATTCAATTGATTTTTATATATTGACATTATATGCAGGAAATTATTCAATAATGCTAATGCCTTATTTGTAGATTCTTTTGGGTTTTCTATGTACACAGCATATTATTTTCAAATGAGAGTTTGATTTCTTCCTTTCTGACCCTTATTTTTATTTTTTTCTTGCCTTATTTCACTGGCTGGGACCTCCGCTACAATGTTGAATTGAAGTGGTGAAAGCAAGTATTCTTGACCCATTCTCAGGTCTAGAGGAAATCCTTTCAACATTTCACCAGTATATATGATGTTTGCTAGAGCTTTTTTTTTTTTTTTTTCTGTTAAGTATCCTTTATTACATTTAGAACATTTTCTTCTATTCCTAGTTCAATAAGACATTTGATCATAAATGGATATTAATTTTTGTCAAATACTTTTTCTTGATCAATTGAGATGATTCCACGAGCTTTTCTCCTTTGTTCTATTAATTTGGTGAATTACAATGATTGATTTTCATACGTTAAACCTTGCATTCCTAGGATAAGCCCAAATTCATTGTCTTATAGTGCTTTTTATGCATAGCACTGGATTTGATTTGCTAACATTTTATTTGGGATTTTGTATATATACTCATGGAAGAGATTGGCCTATAACTTTGTTTTTGTAATGTCCATCTCAGATTTTGGTATTAATGTTAGCAGGTCTCATAAAATCAGTTGGAAAAATGTTCCTCTCTTTCCATTCTGTGAGAGATTGTGTATGATTGATATTATTCTTCCTTAAAAATTAGGAAAAATTCTCTGGTGAAGCGATCAAGTTCTGGAGTTTACTTTGAAGGGGAGGCTTTTAATCATAAAGTCAGTATCTTTAGTTGATATGAGACTACTCAGATCCTTTGTTTCCCCAGATTTTATGTTTTGTCAAAGAATTTATAGCTTTCATCTAAATTTATCAACATAATGATGTTCAAAATACCTTCTCATTATCTTATTACCTTTTTTAAAGTAAGATTTGTAATTATATCCCTTTTATATTCCTAATCTTAGTAAATCTGTATTTTCTTCCTTTCTTTTTTTAAACTAGCATGGCTGGGGGCATTCCGGTTCTAATTTGTGTTTTTCAAAAACCAAATTTTGATTTTACTGATTTTCTTTACAACTGTTTTCCATTTCAACAATCCTGCTCTTACATTTATAATTTCCTTCCTTTCACTTTTGTTGAGTTTAGTTAGCTGTTCTTTTTTGAATTTCTTGAGATAGAAGTTTCTATGATTGACTCTCCAGCCCTTTTGGTTGATTGGTTGATCCGGTTTAGCTATTTTGGTTGATGTGGTTGACTGGTAAACTGATACGGTTATAAATACAATTTAATCATTATATTAGCTACAGCCACAAGTTTTGATATGTAGTATTGTCGTTATCATTTTGTTTAAAAATATATTCTAATTTCTACTGTTACTTCTTTGAACCACAGATTACTGATGAGTATACTGTTTAATTTTCAAGCATTCACAGTTTTTTGAGTTATCTTTCTTTTCCAGTGTGTGGTTTCGATCTTCTGTATTTTGTTGAGATTTCCCTACGGCCCTGCCTAGTCTGCTTCCGTATGGTTTCGTGTTGCACTCATCAAGAGTGTGTACTCCTCAGTTGTTTGGTGTAGTATTCTGTAATTCATTAGGTCGTTTCTTCATTCAAGTCTTCTGTATCCTTACCAATGTTCTTATCTGTTGTTCTATCATTTACTAAGAATATGTTAAAATCTTCAATTATAATTGTAGGCCTTGTCAATTTCTCCTTTTAGAGCCGTCAGTTTTATACAGTTTGAATTTTTAACTGAAATCCTTTAACTTCTAAAGATGGAAAATTTATTCAAATTTGGTTTTTAAAGATGGGGGGAAGCAAACAACTCTGCCTTGGATCCCATCTGGTCTTGGGGCTGCCAGCCCCAGGCTCTACCCATTTCACCACCTTTGACCTTTGTTGTCCCCCCGAGGGATGCAGTTTCCTGGGGGAAATGGCAGAGGCCCCAGTGGTCTTCGATGAGCTGAGAGGTCACTAGTACTTACACAGCCCCTCACTGGCTAAGGCGGCCACATACTCTCTCTGCCCTGACACCCTCCCCAGTCTGGACCAAGGCTGCTGGGGACCCTTGCAAGGGCCAGTGGCTCATGCCCAGCCTCCCTCCTTTCTGTGCCCCTGCAGAGCTGAGGCTCACCTTGCATGCCCGAAGGCCCGAAGTCCTGCCGCGTGAGGAAGATGGCGTGATCGTGGTACTCGTCGTGACCTGTGTCTGGCTTCTGCTGGAGGTAAGCCCAGCGGCAGACGTTCTCCAGGCTCTGAGAGGGGTTCCCGATCTCAATGAGGTTCATGGACTGCGGGAGGGAGGGGGGTCAGGAGAGACGGAAGTGAGGGGTTAGCGTCGGGCTGACTGGATGGGAGCTGAGCAAGCTGTAGTGCTCACAGACCCCCTCTGCTGGGGCCCTGGTCCACATGGCACTGAGTCTGGTCCCCCTCAGGACCCTCCTCCCACTTGGCTCACTCTTCTGAGTGGAGGGAAGGCTCGCCAGGCACACACACCTGTGTGAGTGTCCACACGAAGCCATGGCCCACTTCTCAGATGAGACGTGGAAGCCAAGCTCCGAGGCCATCCAAGGCCTCACACAGTCCATCCCGCCTAGCCCACTTCCAGGGGCCCCTGCGGTAGTCTATCAGGCTTATTCTGTGCGGCCCTGGGCAGGAGGCAAATGCAAGGCGGACCTCATGCTGAAGAGCTCACAGTTCTGGCAGGGTCCCGGGCAGGGGAGACGGAACTCCCAATGTGGCGGGCAAGCCCAGAGAAGGGGACGGGAGCCCTGTTTCTCCCTGTTTGAAGGTCTTGCAGACAACAGCACAAACACCATGGAGGAGGAAAACTGCAGCAGATAGAGCAGAGGACCCACATACAGAACAGGGGCATAGCGATAATCCTCTCAGGAATCACAGATGGGAAGCCACTGGAAGCCCCACGTTCCCTTTGTATCATGACGCATGCCCGAGGGCAGGGCTGGCTGTGGGATGGGCAGCACAGCAGCCCGCTCTGCACCATGGTGTTGGCATTCCCTCTCTCATTCAGTCCTCACAACCACCCTGAGAGGCAGGAAAATGAGGCCCAGAGAGGTCGAGTAACTTGCCCGTAGCCACACAGCTGGGAAGCCTAAAACCGAAGTCTAGATTCAACGCCCTGCCCTAGACTGCCTCCCCCAACAAAACATATGCCATATTGTCCCCACAGCAAGGCTCCCCTATGTGGCACGCTTCCCTCTTCTCGCTGCTGTCCTCACACCAGGCAGTGTGTATGCTCCTCTCACTACGAACTCCCACCACCGAAGAGCTCCCTCCATGCAAAGAGTCCTGAGCTTGTGCTTCTTCTCTTTCAGGATCCTTCTGTCCATCAAGTAGAGATATGCATTCCCTAGTACACATGTATGCATGTGTTCTGTTTCTTCCCTGGCACAAATACATCCATCAAGCATAGCCACATATTCCTCTTCACATATAGAAGTAGTGAAGAGTAGATAGAGGGTACTGCTGGGAAGCCAGGCTGTTCCAGAAGAAGGAAGAATGATTCAAGGCCAGGGCGGACCGCTCACTGCCAGGGTTCTCATGCATTATCCGAGTCAATGACTTACAAGATGGCGCACCAATTCCCAAGTCCCGAGCACAAGGCACCTGGGAGAGAAGAGTGCTCATTATAACGAGACATAGTGAGTCCCAATGAAGGAAGTCACAGACTGGAATGGGAGGTGTGATGACCAGGACCCGGACACAGGCACAGAGATGGACAGCCCAGGGGAAGCTGCAGCAGGGAAAGGGAGGTGTGTGACCACCCCAGTCAGGACCGGGAAGAGAGTGTGACTACCTCTGGCCAGTGAGCTGTGAGCAAAAGGGACCAGTGCCTCTCCCCGGTCGGAGTATTTAGCCGCCCACAGGAGACCTGCAGAGATCGCTCCTCGCTCCCAGCAATGTCGAGGTGGTAGCTGCTCTCTCACCCAGGCCCTGAGCGACAGAGACGCCGCACACGTAACAGGAGCAGGAAATAAATATCTGTTGCCATAAGGCCGTAGCACAACCTTCGCTGCCCGGACGAAGGGAGTGTTCCGTCTGTGTCCCATCTAAGCCAGACGCCTGCAGGTCAGCCCGAGTCCCTGCCAGGTGGAGCTGCCTCCAGAAAACCAGAGAGGTCGCAGCTCCGAAGAAGGAATCAGGTGGGAGGACCCCCTTTCTAGGGAATTAGCTCTGGGTGGAAGGAGAAGGAAAAGACTCTTGTGGGCGGATGTGAGTTGGTGTTAGAATTTGGGGCCTGTGTTCGTAGCCACTGAGCTGAAGATTGCCAGCCTGAGTCTAGATCAGAGGGAGATCACCAGGCCACCCATGGGCACTCAATCTAGGATGGCCACAGAGCCCCCACTGGAGTGCGACCTCCCCACTCACCAAGCCCACAGAGCAGCTGAGCAGCCTTGCTGGGCCACCTCCCATAGAAGGAGCTCTGTTTCCTCCAGGGCTATGTCTACTAGCCCACATGTCAGGAGGTCATTGCCCGTGATGGGCTGGCCTGCCCTCAGGGTCCTTAGGGTTCCACGGGTTGGGCTAATTCTAGTCTGGTTCCCTCCAAGGCCCTGGTGGGCTACATAGTCTACTTCAGAAGGGAATCTCGGTCCTGCCCACGCTCAAGGGGAGGGGACTATGCCAGGCTGTGAAAACCAAGAGGTGGGGTCAACCTCCTAGAGGCTGCCTGTCCCAGAGACGCATCTCATTCATGTGTGTCAGGCAACCTCTCCCGTCAAGGTCAGTTTGAGTTGTGTTATCGTCACTTGCTACGAGAGTCTTGAGCAACGCACTTCTTCCTTGGGGAAACCACGGGAGCCCCAGTCAAGGGCAGTGGCTGGTCTCCGGGGTCCAGCTGGTGTGCCCCACACCAGTGGGAGAAGAGCTCTGGCCACATCTTTGAAGAGGAGTCCAAAGTCCAGCCAGAAGGATACACCTGTTTCAGGGCCAGAGAGCAGGAAAAGGACCACGAGGTCAAGGACAGAATCGAAGGCAGGAGCCAGGCTGAAAGAGGCTGAGAGCGAGTGGGGGTTGGGGGGAGAGGCCAGAGGCCAGAGTGCTCAGGAGGTGGGCTTGTGGGAAGTACTGGGAGGGTGTTGAACCCCCAAACACCGACAGGGGTGAGGCAGGTTGGTTATGAGAAAAACAAATCTACCTTTTGTGTTGCCCATTGGGAAAGGGGTAAGGGTACGCAGAAATATTTCCTTGCCATGATAAAGAAGGTGGGGGTCGATCAGTGGTAAGTGAAGACGCTAGCAAAGCCAGAGGCCCCTACACAGTTGTCAGGGTGACAGCACCCAGCACCCCGCTACCGTGGGTATGCAGAAATGGGGCCAGATTGGATTTCTTGGGCCAATCTTCGAATCTGGGTCTTCCAAAGTAAGCCTACCTCCTAGTAAATGTTGACCCCACTTAAAGTCAGTTATGTGGACAAAACAAAACACATCCCCCAGGTCACCGGGTTGAGAGCCCCGGAATAAAGGTCCTCAGGCAGACAGCCCCAACACGCCCTTCTCCACTGGCCCCGGAGGAACCAGCAAGCGCCTTCTTCCTCCCAGAGATGCCTATGGTTCGGCCCAGCCGCCCAGCCCCTCTGGCAACCGGAGTGATTTTGCCACTGCAGCAGGATGATTTATTGAAATATTGATCTGCGTTTTGCTCTCGCCTTGTCTCTGCCCATTTCCAGAAGGCAGCCCGCCACGTGTGTTCTCAGGTCCCACGGGGGCCTGGGCTATAGGGCCAGAGCAGAGGTTGTCGGGCTCTGAGGACACCCCCCAGGGAGAGGGGCAGAGAGGAGGGCTGGAAAAGGGCTGCACCAGGACGGAGTGGTCCTGGGGAGGCAGATCTCAGAAAACTCTGGCCGTGTGCTGGGCTCTGGAGCGAGCGGCCCAGATGGGACTCTGAGAGATGGAGGACGAGGGTGACGTCAGCTCTCAGTCACCCAAGAGGCAGAGGGGCTTGTACATCCTATGTCTCTGCCCACGTCCCAACTTTCTCAGGGCTCTGGCCCACCTAAGATGTGCACAAAGGGCCTAGGACCAGGATCCTCATCCTTGCTGGGTCTGGAGCATTTAGGAGGGTGTGGGTACGCAGAGGCCAGCCTATGAGCTGACAGTGACCTGTGCCCCTTGGCAGGCACAGGGCCCCCGGGTCATTGAGAAGGGAGGGGACACAGGAGGGGGGCATTGCTGCTGCCCTATCAGCAGGGTCTAGATCATAGTGTGGCAGGAGATGAGCAGGGGAGGTGTGGGGGCTGGCAGGTAGGGGAGGAGGGGGCTTCTGGCTTTGGTGGAAGGTGGCGAGGGGGCCTACACAGGACGTGTGAGGAGAGGACTGCGAGCTTGCAGGGCAAGTGTGGGGTCCACAGCGCCTGGGGACAGAGTCAAGGGATTGCCTTTTCCCGCCCGGCTTGCTTGCTTGGTAAGAGCTTGGCAGTTTTGCTTTGGGGCGCTCTTGCGCTTACCCGGGTGCAGCCCCTGGGGGTCAGTCCAAGTGCTCTGCCCACCCCTGAGCACGGCTGGGCCTGGGACCGGAGTGAGGCCAGAGGGGCAGAGGTTCAAAAGGACTAAACAGGTTGAAGCAGGTTTTTCCTGGAGGCAACGCCCCCAAAACCACCTCCCATGTGCTTCTGCCTCCTGCACCCCAGATTTAGCCTTTCCTCCACCTGCTCCTCTCAGGAGAGCCACCTGGCCTTCCCACAGGCTCCCGGAGCTTTGGGGGCTCCTGGCAGACAGATATCCAAGCAGACGAGCAGGGAGACCCCAGGACAGGGGTCTGGGCCAGCCCACGTGGCCCACTGGGGCTCTGACGGTTCCTCCTGCTGCAACCCGACCCCCATCTCTGCCACCCAGTCACCGACACAGCCCTCTGATCGGCCCCACTCTGCAGGGCCCCATGGACCTTGCCCTGTCTTTGTCATGGAGCTGTGAGCTGTGACTCTCTTCCCAGCGAGGAGAGGAAGCCTCTATTTCTCCCATCTGGATCTCCTTCCAAAGTGCCAAAGTGCCAGAGAGAGTTGCCTGTTGCAATTAAGAAAGCTTCTCATACCCGGCTCGCTTAGATCACCTGCGTTCCTCCCAGCCCTCACGGCACCTGTCTCTTGGCCGCCTGCTCGCCTCTGCATGGGTTTCTTTAGGAAAACCTGTTGGTACACCTCGCCTGTTCCCACCTGTGCAGGGACGGGGACCATGCGTGGCCCAGGACCTCGCAGATGGGACGCTCCTCCCCCGGGGGGAGCCAGGGGCACCAGCTGCACAGAGCGAATTGCAGCAGAGTGGTGGTCACACCGTGTTCGCTGTGGAAGGGGCATTTCTGCAGCCCGGGTCGGGGGGGAGCTGGGTGGTAGCTCCAGGTTTATAGGTAGCGCCTAAGTTAAGCGGTACAATTGCCCTAAGATACAGGTGCTGTTATTATCCGGAGGAGGAACTGCATCAGGGCCAACTGAACAGTGCCAAGTCTCACTCTACACCGGGGTGGAGGTGGGTCTGGAAGGACGGGAAAGGAAGGGCGGGGCCCCGAGGTGGCCACCAGGTGGCGCTGCGGCCACAAGAACGGCAGGGCTGGGCCGGCTGGCAGGACTCCCGAT